TACATTCATAAGGTTTCTCACCTGTGTGAATTCTGTAATGCCGAGTAAGGGCTGATTCAAAACTAAAGGACTTCCCACATTCCTTACACTCATAAGGCTTTTCACCACTGTGAATGATCTGATGACGAATAAGGCCTGATCCAAAACTGAAGGCTTTCCCACATTCCTTACATTCATAGGGTTTCTCACCAGTATGAATTCTCTGATGGTGAGTAAGGTTTGAACCACTACCAAAGGCCTTTCCACATTCTTTACATTCAAAAGGCTTCTCACCAGTATGAATTCTTTGATGGTAAGCAAGGTTTGCACCACTACCAAAGGCCTTGCCACATTCTTTGCATTCATAAGGTTTCTCACCAGTATGAATTCGCTGATGTCGAATAAGGACTGACACAAAACTAAAATCCTTCCCACATTCCTTACATTCAAGGAGTTTCTCATCAGTATGAATTCTCTGATGCTGGATACTGAAAGTGGGCATGTCTTCAGGAGTAAATATCATTTCACTGAAATGTCCTTCCTGAGATCCCTGTTTTCTCTCAAACTGGCTTTTATATTCCCAATCACCTCTGAAACTTGAACACTCAATGCTGTGTTTTGTAAGTTTTTCCATTATCTCCCATCAGGATGATTCTATTCCATAAATATCCTTTTTCAGAAATAATTTCTTGGTCTCAACCTTGATTCACAGTCTGAAAGAAAATATAAAAGCAAACATTTATTTTTTTGTGTCCTGGGAGAGATTTAACATTTATAATAGATATGAAAGACTTAACTACAATTTAATTTTCATAAAAATTGAGTGGCTTATACACTTATCACATATGACTGGGCAATTTGAAAAACAGATTAGAAAAGCAGAGAAAATGAGTAAAAATCACACTAGAAAGTGAAGGAGGTATTTAGGAAACAGATTAATTATTTCTAAATCATAGTTTAGATAAAAGTTCCCTGCAAACTTTGAAAGCTTGGTAATTATATAGATGTCCTGGCCCTGTCTTAATTTCTTAAAAGATGAATCTAATGTTATGAACATTGATAAATGAGGGTAATTCTCATATTCATTTCTCAGGGTTGGTTGGAGTACTACATTTTTCCTGGGGTGGAAAATCTGGGATGATTCAGTAATAAACATAATTTGCATATAAACTGATGGAGACAAAAAAGAAAGATAAGCCACAAAGAGCAGTTTCCAAATGAAAGACTAATGTGCTAAATGAGTATGGAATGTGCTATGGAAAGGGAAGATTGATCTGTGATCACAATGTGGTTTGTTTATGCCATTTAATTAAAAATAAGTGTGCCTCCAAATTCTATGATGGCATTGGGGGAAGAAGGAACTCAGGGCTATGGCAGAGGAACAGAATCTAGTTTTAACATAAGAGGAAAGGGAAGGCAAGACAGGTGTCAATCTGATACTGCAATGCCATAAAAGTAGAGACTAAGAAAGGCAATGGATTTAAAGATACTATCTAAGGCCCTGAGTGAATACCTCAAACCCCAAAAGGTGAAAAAATTCCAGCATCAATCTCTTTCTACAACTCACATAACAATCCTGTTTAAAGCAAGTCTAAATATGTCTTGAAATTGTTCTTCCAATCTCCAACTGGCTAAGCCAAATCAGAATTATCTTTTGCTTGGACACTAAAGCAGCATTTCTTCTAGCTGCCTGCATTTCCAGTTTTGGACCCTTAGCACCTAGAGTGATATTAAGCCTGGAACTTTTTTTCTCAAAATGAACTTGCTCTTAAAAGTTCCTCAGTGATCTGCCTGTCTCTTAAACCTTATATTCCTCTTGGCACTCCCACCCAACAATACACTGTAGCTACAGTGGCCTTCATAGTTCTTTAAATGCACAAAACTGTACCCACCTACCCCCATCATGATTTCATCTGCCTGAAATGTCCCCCTATATCCACTGCCCCTACTCTTGGCCTTACAAGTTTCCAGCAATGGTTTAGGTCTCTGCTAAATGATGTATCTTTAAAATATTTCCTGCATGTTCAGTCTTAATTATGCACACTCCACCATCATTTCTCAGAGCACTTTTTTCCTTTTTGTGTTTTGTTTTAATAATGGGTAATTTACGTATCCATTCTATACAGTTAAAATTTTTATATTTGTTTGAATGCTTGTTTAATCTCTGCCTGCTACAATAGAGCCAAGATTCTTGAAGACAAGGATAACGTCTGTTAATTTAGTGAACTTGAACTCTGGTACATACAAAAAAAAAAAA